TTCATCCATCCAAACATCCAAGAATCCATCGAGTGAGCCTCTACTCTGTATGGGTCCTTATTTCTGGGCGTTGAAACAGTCATAGATCCTGCCTTCAAAAAGCCTCTAGTCCAGGAGTGAAAGTGGACATGTCACGGACCCAGGAGACAGCATATGCCGTAAAGGAGGCACTGATGAGAGGGCTGTGAGTTCAAAGAATTCGGGAAGGCTTGGTGGAGGAAGTGATATTTGGACGAGGCACGAAAGGGGAGACAGGACGCAGAAATGGGAGCGAAGGCATTTTGGACTGAATGGCCAGTGCAAGCGAAACCTAGGAGTGGGATGCTCCAGTGTTTAGGACAGAGCTTATTAGGGATGCACAATGAGTTTGGAGAAAGACTGGGAACTTCTTCAAACACCTCGCATGTGCCTTTTTTCTACTGGAAGAGTAATGCTGTGCTTGCTGAATGGATTCTCAAGATCAGGCCTGGGTGCGGTGGCTCACGTCTGTAATCCCTGCACTTTGGGAGGCTGGGGCAGGAGGCTTGCTCACACCCAGGAGTTCAAGACCAGCCTGGTCAACCTAGCAAGATCCTGTCTCTATGCATGCACACACAAAATTACTGGGGTCTGGTGCCGGGTGCCTTTCTGTAGACCCACCTACTCAGGAGGCTGAGGCAGGAGGATCACTTGAGCTCAGGAGTCTCAGGCTGCACGGAGCTATATCACACCACCACACTGCAGCCTGGGTGACAGGGTGAGACCCTGTCTCAAAACCCCAAAATAACAAAGATCTGCCTGACTGCTTTGTAGTGTCTGGAGCTGGCCTGCGTGTGCATTCTGACCTGGGAATGTTACAGGTAGCTCTTGCCTGGAAAAATGCTGCACCATCTACCTCTGCCTCTGGGGGACATTAGCGTAGAATTCAACTGAACAGGTACCTGTTTGGCATCTACTGTGTGACAATTGCAATTGGAGAGCAAAAATACAGAAGGTGGCCAAGCACAGATGGAGCAGCTAGTGTGCCCCGGGCCCTCTGGATACATCGTCTCATTTGAACTTGAAAACCACCCTGTGAGGCTGATGGTTCTATTCAGGAATAAATAATGGGCCCAAGATCACAGCTTAGTAGCAGAGACAGGATTTGAACCCAGAGCAGTCTGCCGCCACCATGCAAGGACCCAAATAACGGGGTAAGCAGTTCTAGGAAAGGTATAAACACAGCTTGGCAGTTCAAGGAGGGTGAAATCTGCTCCAGTTGAAACTGCATCATGGAAAAGGTGACATTTGGGACTGGGCAGGGTGGCTTATACTTGTAATCCCAACAGTTTGGGAGGCTGAGGCAGGAGGATCGCTTGAGGCCAGGAGTTTGAGACCAGCCTGGGCAGCATAGCGAGACCCAGCCTCTACCAAAAATAAGTTGGCCAGAGTTGATGGCACACACCTGTTGTCCCAGCTACATGGGAGGCTAAGGTGGGAGGCTTGCTTGAGCCCAGGAGGTTAAGGCTGCAGTGAACTATGATTGTGCCACTGCAGTCCAACCTGGGCAAGAGTGAGACCCTGTCTCTAAAAATAAAGGAAAAGGTGACATTTGGGATTCACTTTAAGCCCATGGATTTTAGCATGGTGATGAGCCTGTGAGCAAGGGAGGCTTTTAGGTTGAGAGAAGCTATTGCACAAGGGTATGAAGGCAGGACAGCAGAGGAGCTTAGTAAATAGATAGGGCTGCATAAAAGAGGCTGGAAAAGCAGATGATACCAAGCCTTGAATACCAGGGGCTGGTGGACAATGGGGAGCCACCGATGGATCAGGAGCAGAGGAGTGACATGATGAAAGGCTCTGGGAAAATGAAGCTGGCACCGGTGGACAGGACGGAGACGTGATGAAGGATGGAGGGTTTAAGAACCATTAGTCCTGATACTCTCTTCTTAGGGGTGTCACATTACTTGCTAGTGTAGAATAGTTGCTGTTTTCTGTCTGCTGGTTGACTCTGATTCGTGTCTATCTCCAGCATCCAGCAAAAGACCAGAAGCACAAAAGACCAGAAGTACAAAACTTATTGAAGGAAAGAATTAACTTTAGTATTCAGTTCTCTGGTGGTGACATTGCAAAGAACCCCAGTGAAGCAGACGCATGTCCATGAAATCCTAATCAGACTCTTCATTGAACTTGGGAATTCCACTGTGATTTCTGGTCACTTACTGAGCAAGGTATTTACCTTTGCACTTCATGCGTAGCTTTGGTTAGGTGCTAAATAGGAATAAAAGCAAAACCAATCCAAATCCTGTCATCAAAATTGGAGAGGCAAACTATGAAACATTTAGGTGAGAATGTCCCCTCCCCAGCTTTGACAGTCCCCTTGGCCTAGTTTACTCATCCAATGAATTAGCACACATAAAGCACTTAAAACAGTGCCTGGCAAATGCCAAGTGCTCAGCAAATGTTAGCTATTGTTACGACTATCCATTCATTCATTCATAGAACACGAGTGATTTTTCAGTGCTAGCCATTATTTGTGCATTTTCATGCATGCTAACTCAAACTGTGCCACAACCAGCCTGCTGGGGAGATGTCATACTTCCATTTGACAAATGCAGAGACCGAGGCTGTGACCATTTATCGGCACTTAGATTTTAATGTGCACACGAATCATCAGGGGGGCTTGTTAACTTACACATTCTGATTTCAGCAGGTCTGGGGTCAGGTTCAAGATTTTGCATTTTGAACAGGATCCCTGCTGCTTTTGCAGCTGCCACTGCCCATGGACCACGCTGAGTAGCAAAGGTCTAAGCAGAGCCACTGCTGCTAAGTGGCAGAACAAAGCGCTCTACCTGGAACCTCTGAGTTCAAGTTCAGGGTTCTTTCCTTTTTTCAGTCCCTTTTGCAAGTCTGCTGCTGGGTATCAAGTGATTGTTCTCTAGACACGCACACATAGGCAAACAGGATTTAGGCAGGCCCCTTGATGCCATCATCAAACATTTATTGAGCCCTGGGAAAGCAAAGGGTAAAGGCTGGTCTGTGGCCAAAAGACTCACAGCCTGGTTTGAGTGGGTGGGGGCAGGGGTCACAGCAGGCTGCGCTGGAGTCTTGCTCCTAAGTTTCAATGTTTGTTTGGTCAGAAAGTTATGCAACTGTAAGATCATCAGGTAGGTGTCCCATTGGTGCCTTAAATCCATCATGCCCAGGGTGTCACCTCTCTAATCTGCCTGTATCAGCTCCTCCCTGTGTTTCCCGTTTCTACAGTGGCCGTCATCCTCAGATGGTTGTGTGGCCGCCTTTGGCATTTTCTCAGTATATTTATTTATGAAAATGTGAGGGGACCAATTTCACTAGCTCAGAAGCACACTTTGCTCACCTGAGGAAGAGAAATCAAGGTTTAAGCCAGGCGCAGGTTTCTCCCTAGTGGCCTGAATGAAATGGACACCAGAGGGCGCCTCAGAACCACTTTTCCTACAAACCAGGTTTGCACTCTTCCCCCACGCAGGCTGTTTTTGCTTTAAGACATGGTTTTCGGGTGATACTTGGGGAGGATTTGAGTCAGTTACAATAGCAAAGTACACATGCCTGTCCTGTCCTTCTTCTCCTTCCTATTGCTAGCACAGAGCTTGTTCATCTTTTAAAGGTCACAGCGATACATCCCTTTGATTGTCTTTTTTTTCTTTTTGTTTTTGAGACGGAGTTTCACTCTTGTTGCCCAGCCTGGAGTGCAATGGCACGATCTTGGCTCACTGCAACCTCCACCTCCCAGGTTCAACGATTCTCCTGCCTCAGCCTCCTGAGTAGGTGGGATTACAGGCGTATGCCACCATGCCCGGCTAATTTTCTATTTTTAGTAAAGACTGGGTTTCTCCATGTTGGTCAGGCTGTTCTCAAACTCCCGACCTCAGGTGATCCGCCCACCTTGGCCTCCCAAAGTGCTGGGATTACAGGCGTGAGCCACTGTGACCGACCATCCCTTTGATTTTCTTTGCTCTCCTCCCTGCCCTCAAGGTCCTGAATGCTGTGCACAGGCCCTGGGAAGGGTGAAGGGAATGGACATTTGTTGAGTGTCCACTGTGAGCTTTGCCCTGTGCAATGCATTGGCAGGTGCGCAGTCATTGAGCAGGTGAATTCCTGGTCCTGTAAGATTTCATCAGCATATAATAGATAATTCTATCTTTAGAAGTAACATCTGCTGAAATAGATTGCTTCCAGATTAGGCTGCATTCCTCCTGGTGGGAATCCTTGAGTGCATTACATTCTTCATGGCTTCAGAATTGGGAGCTTGGAGTCGGCCCTCGATGCTGAACCCTTTCCTCCTCCTCTTCCTGTGTCCTCACAGCTGAACTGCCCTGGGCACTCTGGTCTTTCCAAGATGACAACCAGCAGGCCTGGTTAACACGGCCATACCAGAGCGTGGGTGGCTGATGACAACTTCATGAAGAAATGAAGGGCCAGGGAGTGGGGACACCCCCTTGGGTAGAACATCCCCTCTCTGGCCCTCAGGGGCCTATCAAAGAAGGGGTGTGGAAAAGACCATCTAGAGCTGCTTCTCACTCTTAACCAATCTTTGCCAGTGGGGGGGATTTGAGGCCTGATGACACAGTGGGGACAATATTTTTAGGTTGGTATTTTTCATGCTTTTCACATTAAGCCATATGGCCAGAAATATTCCTTCCAGAGATTGCATTATTTTGGATAAGATTGTAGAATGTTAGAAAAAGAGTCATAGGGTGGGGCACGGTGGCTCACGCCTGTAATCCCAGCACTTTGGGAGGCCGAGGCAGGTGGATCATGAGGTCAGGAGATGGAGACCATCCTGGCTGACACGGTGAAACCCCATCTCTACTAAAAATACAAAAAAATTAGCTGGGCATGGTGGCGGGCGCCTGTAGTCCCAGCTACTTGGGAGGCTGAGGCAGGAGAACAGTGTGAACCTGGGAGGCAGAGCTTGCAGTGAGCTGAGATTGCGCCACTGCACTCCAGCCTGGGCGACAGAGCGAACTCCGTCTCAAAAACAAAAAAGAGTCACAGAAACTTACTGTCATGGAAAATTAAAAGAATTTAATGCTGGAATTGCTGGCAGGGCCAGCCATGTCAGACTTGTTCCCAAATTATTCCAATGCTTAGCACGTTGTCAGCACAAGGTAGGTGATCAGAAAAATAATGAATGAATGAAACTTTAGTGAATTAAACCCTAGAATGACTGGTAGAATTTGAGACTCAGAGAATATTAGAATTATGGAAAACATTATTCACTTATTCAGAAGAGGGAGCTGAGATCCCAGAAGTTGCTGACAGTCTTCCGGGTGCTGAAGGATCCATGGCTCCTGGGGCAGGGTTCTTTCTACGGAGAAGGGGTAGCCTGGGAGGCTAGTGATGGTCCAGGACATATCTCTGAGCTCTAAGCAGGGATGGGTTTGCAGGAAAGGAATTTTCCAGAGGGAGGGCCTTTGGTGCCAATGTTCCCCAGGACTGGGACTACCGCAGCCCGAGGCAGGACCTCGAGGGACAGGGAGGAGGCCGAGCACAGCCTCAGCAGGGCGGGGTGGGTCCGGTACACAGCCTGTTGGGGTAATGGGCATATTTGCGGTTGTAGGTGCCCAGGTTGCGACGAAAGCAGAGGGCGGCCCTCTTGTCACACTCGCAGGTCAGCCGCTGGCAGGTGGTCCTGCCGGCTGGATGGGACAAAGTGAGTCAGGGACCACAGAAGCTCAGGATATGTGTGGGACAGCTCTTGGCTGCTCCCGGGTCCACGTTCTTGACCTGGACCAACTCCATTCTGATGGAAGCCCAAGCTCTCGCGTTGTTTCAGGAATGGGTGAGACAAGAGACAAGGGCGGGGTGCACTGTGGCTCGGGACACCAGGGAAGCTGGAAGCTTGCCCTCGCTGTCCCTCCCTGCTCTCAAGCCCACGCTGACTGCCTTTAGCTCTCTCCTGCCTTAGAGACACCACTTGGCTCGCTCTCACTGCCCCCAGCCAGGGGGATTTCTAGGCAACCCCTGCACCCCTATGTGATGTGTTGCTGATGGCGGATTGTGGCCATCAAGCAGAGAGGACAGCTACGAAAATGACAGCAACTCACTCTGATGGCTATGTGTGCCCCAGAGTGGCGTGGGCCCAGGCTAGAAGCCACCGGGACCAAAGCTGGGGTCTGCTTAGGGCCCTCTGCCTGCCCTCATCAGAGTGGATAGAGCCCAGTTTTCTGCCCATGCCCAGCCTGGGAGTCAGACTTCTGCCATGACCTGCCCTCCCAAGAGCCAGCTGGCATCAGCTCTGTAGGGGCCCAGAAGGCTCCTCCTCTCTCCACTGCAGCTGCCTCTGTCACCTCTGCCTGCAGTGGCTCCAGCTCCCTTTTTTCTCCATGACTGTATCTCACAGCTCAGACCAGGTGCCTCATTTCGCCCCTTGAAGGTGAGCCTTTCTCTGCCGTCAGGGCTCTGCCCACGCCTGCTATGTCAGCAATACTCAGGGTTGGAAGGGACTTAACACCGAGCCGGTCAGCCTCTTTTTGGGGGCTCTTTGCTGGACTGAGCTGGGGAAGTAGGTATAAGCCTCTCCGTTTTATAGATTAGGAAACAGAGGCTTTCCAGGGATTATATCACTTGTCCAAAGTCACAGGCAGGTGGAAGGTGGCGCCCTGAGTAGAATCCAGAGCTTGTGTCTCCACCTGCCTGCCTCCTCCTCTAACTCTTCCTCTCAGCCCTGATCCTGGCAGGTGGCTGCTCCTGCCTTTCATGGACTTCCAGCGACAGGGACTCAGTACCTGGCACATTGCCCTGCCAAGTTGATGACTGCAGAGGAAATGGAGCCAGCTCTGCCCCGCCCCCAGGACAGAATTTAGAGACCTGAGCTGAGTCTTCTACGACCTCCCGAATCCTTCTGCGCTGAACCATCCGCCCACCAGGCCCTGCCCTTCTTTCAGGCTGCTCCTGGCTTTGTGGCAGGGAGAAAGCTTGGCTCTCCCATGTGGGGTCTCTGCACGCTGTCACTTGGTTTAGGCTGCTTGCCTGGGCCTGGGACTAAAGGAAAGCTAATTGGTCCAAGTGGGCATTGGACATGGCAAAGCTGAGCAAATGGGTCCAGCCTGACAGTCCCAGTGAGGAGTCAGCCTTTGGAAACCACGTCTGCTGTCCCCAAAGCCCCAGCTCGTTCTGTCTTAGGGACTTCACCTTTAGCTCCTGCTGAGGCCCTGGAAGGGTGCCTGAGTCCAGCTCCTCTGGGCCCTGGCTCAGCTCAGCCCCCTCCGCTCCTCTTTCCAGAGGCTGGAGCTGGGAGGTGTCTGTGGGTGGGGAGATACCTGGGGCTGAGGGTTGCACCTGATGGGGTATGGGCTTCTCTAGCCTGGGTACCCGGTGAACATCTGGGTCTCACTGTTACATGGTGATGGGAAACCCCATGCCTCCAGCCCGGGGTCTGGCTCTGATAAGGCCCAAGGTCACCATCAGGAGGGGCTTCCTGTCTTAAGCTGCCTCCACCCACCTCACCACAGGGTGTCTGTGTCACTTCAGGGCTGTCCACCTACCGCAGAAAATGCCACGTTTGCTGACAGAGAAAAGATACTTTTCCAGTTTGGGCTCACAGCCCAGCTTCTCCAGACGTCCATAGCAGCAGTCATGGGCGTGGCAGCACCTGTAAGGGTCATGGTCAACCTGGGGGGACCTGTGAGCCAGGCTGGGTTGGACCAGGGGCTGCTCGGGGGCCCAGAGCCCAAAGCGGCCCAGAGGAGAGATCGGCCTGAATTTTCCAGGCGCACCCCCTTCTCCCAGGATCCTCCCAGGATCCCCCAGCTCTTCCATCCCCATGGAGGTCCCCCTGCAGGCTGCCTCCTCACCAGTCAGTCTCGTCCACCGGCCAGTGGGAGCCGCCGACGCCGCAGTAACAGCCATAGTCGTTGTACTGCAGGGCAGACTTGCCTGTCATCTTCTCGATCATCACCCCGAACTGGACCAGGTTCCCTGTGACCAGGGCCACTGTGGAGAGGGAGAGGGGGAGATGGGGAGAGGGGGAGAGGGGGAGGGAGAGGGGGAGAGGGAGAGCCCCACCCTCTGCAGCCAACTTCCTCGATGTCCCCTCAAATCTGATCACAGGCATCTCTCCAGTTGTCCAGTTAAGCTCACCTCCCCAAAGCAACCCATTCTCAACAACAAGCATGGTAATAAGTAACAATATTGCCAATGACAGCCTTTGCACCTTTATCCCCCTGGTCTTCACCTCCAGTGTGTCGGCCCCTCCAATGTCCCCTCCCACTATTATCTTCTATCTACAACACTATCACTCGTTCACCCCTTCCAGGGGCTCCTCACCAGCCACCAGTCCTCCCCAGGTGTCAGCCCTTATCTCACCCAGGAACACTCTGTCCCCTCAAGTCTCATCAGATGGCACTGGACCTGTCTCCTGACCACCTCCGCTGACCTCCCTGAATTCCTCCCGGTGCTCCTGACTCAGCCATGGGGCTGAATCCTGCCCACCTCGGCAGGTTGGAGCTAAACATGCAAGCTAGGGTAGGAGAAGGAGCCCAGGGTGTGCTGTCCAGGATGCTGCAGCCCCTGGCCCATGTCCCTCACCCCTCCTAGCCTGCATTCTCCTCCCCTCTGCTCCAGCCACTGCTGGCTCAGGCAAAACTGGCCTCGGGGTCACCCTGGTGGCAGGAAGGGGGCAGCCTCCACTGTTTGGCATCCACCATGCCCTCTGTAGGGCCAGGCTCAGGGGCATCTGGGGAGCTTGGGGTTGCCAGATGGGGCAGAAGAAGGCTGGAGGTCACAAAGATCACTTACCCAGGAGGCAAAGGAACACCAGCACGTGGGGAGGTTTCATCCCAGGTTATGGAGAAGGGAGGTGCACAAGGAGCACAAAAGGCAGCAGAAGAAAGCAACGGGGGCACCTCTGATCTCAGGGCGCCTCCTAATTAGTTAAATACCCAGGTCCTGTCCACTCCCTGTCATTAACCTGTGAGTGCCCAGTGATGCAACGATTCTTCCAGGTCTGACACTTTGGCCAAGTCCCCGGGGAGGGGCCAGCTGGGGCCTGTCGGCTCTGCTTCCAGGCAGTGTAGGGTATGGCGGGCAATCTCGTGGCTCTTTATACTCACACACCCTTCCCGTAGCCCACCCTTTCCAAGAAATCATCCATTGACCAAGCTGCAAGGTGCGGGCTGTGCCGGGTGCTTGTCATTCTTGATATCTTTTCCTCGTCCCCATTTGACCGAGACTCAGAGAGACTGAAAAACTTCAGTTCTCATAGCCCGGAGGTGCCCAGGGCCAAGTCCGTCCCGTTTCCAAGTTTCCACCAAGGCAGAACCGGAGGCAGGAGACCCCTAGCCTGGCCAGGCGCTTCCCCTCCCCGACCCTCCTGCTCTGGTCTGTGACTGGGATCACTGACTGTGCACCTCCGTCACCGTTCAGGGCCTGGCAGTCGCTGGGTCTATGGCCTTGGAGTCCTGGTTCCATTGCATACTAGGCAGCCTTGGGCAGATCCTTTCCCTTGCTTGGAACCTCGGTTTTCCTGCCTGTATTATGGGGATAGAAGGTGTCCCTCTTGCCTCCCGCACAGGATGGAAAACTCACACACAACTAGGCAGCCAGCCCTCACCGAGTACTTGCTATGCACCTGGCACTGTGCCAAGCCCCTTTCAAGCAGGACCACAGCCCCATCATGTGGGCGCTGCAGTCATCCCCATCTTACAGAGGAGGAAACTGACGCACATGTGTAAGTGATGAGCTAGAATTTAAACCCAGGCAACCCAAAGGGCTTCACCTGGGCCAATTCATCCAGCACGAAGTGGAGGCGGTGCCTAGCACCCATGCTACTTTTAGTGGCCCCAACAGAATGCGTTAATTTCTTATCAAAGTAGGAGAAAAACAAGTACCATCACACCTGGATTATATTTGTCTTCAAACCAACACAGTCATAACATTTAATTTAATTTTATTCTTTTATATGGAGGAAGAGCCCACAAAGGCCAGTGTGCCCAGGGCCCATGACAACCGGCGTGCTGCAGCCCTGGGCCTAACCTGAAGCCAGGAGCTGGTCTAGGGCCTGGTGCCAGCCTCCCTTCCAGGAGACGAGACTAAACCCAGTGAATCTGGGTCTCACCCTACAGGCTGGAAGGAACCCAACACAAATTCCCTGACCCCAACCAGCCGGAGGATAGAGGCCTGGGAAAGTTTCACCTTGGAGTAAGGAGAGGAGGGCTGAGTGTTAATACTCTTGTGTTAAAAAGAGTATTTTGTTGGCCGGGCGCGGTGGCTCAAGCCTGTAATCCCAGCACTTTGGGAGGCCGAGACGGGCGGATCACGAGGTCAGGAGATCGAGACCATCCTGGCGAACACGGTGAAACCCCGTCTCTACTAAAAAATACAAAAAACTAGCCGGGCGAGGTGGCGGGTGCCTGTAGTCCCAGCTACTCGGGAGGCTGAGGCAGGAGAATGGCATAAACCCGGGAGGCAGAGCTTGCAGTGAGCTGAGATCCGGCCACTGCACTCCAGCCTGAGCGACAGAGCAAGACTTCTTCTCAAAAAAAAAAAAAAACCTTTTGTTGGCCTGGCACGGTGGTTCACGCCTGTTATCACAGCACTTTAGGAGGCCAGGGCAGGTGGACCACTTGAGGTCAGGAGTTCGAGACCAGCCTGGCTAACATGGTGAAAACCCATCTCTACTGAAAATACAAAAATTAGCCAGGTGTGGCAGGCACCTGTAATCCCGGCTACTTAGGAGGCTGAAGCAGGAGAATTGCTTGAACCTGTGAGGCGGAGGGTGCAGTGAGCTGAGATTACGCCACTGCACTCCAGCCTGGGCGATAGAGCGAGACTCAGTCTCAGAAAAATCAATCAATCAATCAATCAATAAGAGTAAAGCCCAGGAAACCCTTGTCTCCTGCCCCTCCCATTCGTTTCCTGCTAATAACTCCTCCTGGGACTCTTTTCCTGCTGGGCTCTTGCCCTGCCTCAGAGAAGACTTCGGGGGAGAGGGTCAGAGAGGTGAGTCCACCTGCCCAGGATCACCTACCAGCTGTGAGTCATGGTCTCCTGAAAAGGGAGACCTTTGTTCACCGTTTCCTTTTGATCTCCTAGCAGCCCCTGGCTCTCCTGGCCTGGGTTACGAGAGCCCAAACAGTGAATCACTGAGGAGTTACCTTCTAAACAACTGAAAATTAGCGTCGATTCCCTGGGAGGTTTGGCCCCCACAGCCATTCCTGTGGTGGCATAAGGCGTGTTTCCCAGGAAGGGCCAGGTTTCGGAGACGATCCCTTTTGTGACCCATTTTGAATCCGGCCCAGCTAGGACAGGGCTCCTCCAAGTCCCTGCAGGTCTATACCTGTAGCAGAAAAGTAAAGACTATAGGGCCAGAGCCAAGCAGAAAAAGTCAGGCAGGCTTCCAGGTGGAGGTGCTCTCAGTTGAGGTTTGAAGCTGGAGTGTTGGTAGGACTTGGACTTGGAGGGCAGTTCAGACATTTGGGGAAAGGTAATTGATTTTATGGTCTTCACCCATTGGCACAATGCGGTAGAAAGCATCAGCAAGACCAGGGCTTGAGTGATGACCCCTGCACTTAGGGGCTGTGTGAGCTTGGCCAGTCCCATCACTTCTCTGAGCCCAGCTTCATCTTCCATAAAATGGACTGTCCTCTCAAGGTTGTAGACCAGAAGAAAAGGAAATGAAATGAAATATGTAAAGCCTTTGCAGGAGGCCTTGCCCAGGAGCCATAAATACTGGGTCCCTCCTTTTCTCCTTTCCCTGGCCGTGGAGGAAGCAGATGCTGTCCCAGGAGCTCAAGGCACTTACTCCCACTGGGGTATAGCATGTGACCTGGCCAGGGCTCCAAGCACTTTGATGGGATTACTGTCCCTACTTGACAGGTTTTAACTTTCATGATGGAGGGTTGTTAGGGTAGAGGTGAGTGGAGGGAACAGGGCCCAGCCTCTCAGTGATATCTTTTTTTCTCTTGATATAAACTTGTCCCTTTTAGCTTAGAAGTCACCATCATCATCATCATCATAATCACTATCAGTATCATCATCATCATCATCAATATTACCATCATCGTCACCATCACCATCATCACCATCAATATTACCATCATCATCACCATCGCCATCACCATCACCATCATCATCACCATCACCATGAATATCATTAATATGGTTTTTATCTGTGTCCCTACCCAAATATCACATTGAAATGTAATCCCCAGTGCTAGAGGTGGGGCCTGATGGGAGGTGATTGGATCATGGGGTCGGTTTCTAATGGTTTAGTACCATTCCCCTAGTGCTGTTTTCCTGACAGAGTTCTCATGAGATCTGGTTGTTTAAAAGTGTGTAGCATCTTCCCCCTCCCTCTATTCCTCCTGCTCCAGCCAGGTAAGACTGCTTCCCCTTCACCTTCCACCATGATTGTGTGTTGGCAACCAGCCTCAACACCACCTGTAGGGTACCTGAAGTCTGGTGGCAAAAAGAAATGAGAAAAGACAGGTTAAGAGTTCATAAAGGTGGGAGCCAGGGGGCCAGTTGCAAAACGGAGGCTGCAAAAGGCTCAGAGCTCTGGTATCCACAGTATTTATTGAGTACAATCACTTAGATCTAAGAAGCAGATGTTCAGGGCGGAACAGTGAAAGGATGGCAGTGCGTCGTAGGCGTAATTTATAGCAATAGTAGTTTAAATGAATCTCCTTTATGCTCAAACAGTATATCTTTAACTCATCGGAGAGTAGCTAGTGGGAGTGGGCTTAACTAGGAGCCTGCATGTCTGTCTGCTTTCCAGTGCTTCAAAGGAGTGTCTTTCTCCTTGAACACAGTGTTTACAAATAAGAGAGTGGGTCTCGCTCTGAGCATGGGAACATGACGGCAATTAGGAGGTTTCCTCCTCAGAGGCCTCTTGTGGCTTTCCACAACTTATTGTCCTATATTTTTATGGCCAGTTTATACAGGTACCCCAGAAGCCCTTTTCCCAACATACCCCCTTTTTTCTTTTTTAAATCTGCCATTGCTATTATGGCTTGTTCGTGGTGTCTTTTTTTTTTTTTTCAGAGGCATCTTTCACATCTGTAGACTAAAAGCAAACAGTGTAAACAGATACACATTAAAGCACAATTTGCAATTGTTGATCCTCTAATGGTCTTAATTCATTTAAGAGGATTTACCTTTGAAAGTCCATCAGCAGCTCCAGCGAGAGTGTTAGTGATAGGCAGGAGAGTTAAATGAGCCTGAGATGCTTTAAAAACCTGTTCCTTAAATTTGGCTATATTTAATGTTAAATTTTTATTCTTTCCTTCCAGATGATGTCTAACTTTTTTCCTAATGATGTTTAGTAGCATTATATAAATGGGGAGTTATGCAGAAATCAGAAGTATTCCAATTACATTGCATTTGCAAATGATGCTCTAAGCTCATTATACGATCTCCTATCTAAATAATAGTCTAAGATCATTTGTTTGATTTGCCAATTGTTGGTCTATCCAGGTCTGAGAATTCTACAATTTTGAGGAATTCTTTTGTCAATTATTTACATATTTTGCAGTTTGAACAGAGGAGTGTAAAGCAATTCTAGCAGCTGCAGCAGTAGCTGTGACTGCAGTAAGGCCTATAATGACTGCTGTAAGGGTAAAAATAAATTTTTTTTGTCCTGGTAAACACTCCTTTTAACATTTCTGTGATGATATGAATGGAAGGAGAGGCTTCTTAAAGTCTATTGAGGGAAACCGGTATCCAAACTCCTTCTTTAGCAACACAGATGTTTTTACACCAAACATGGAATCAATACAGGTGAAAAGGCGACAGTTTTGACAAGTAATAGTTTGAGAATTAGGTCGAATATCAATACTTCTGACCATCAACATAAAAGGAGGCTTGACACAACTTTGAATGGGCACCGTTTGGTTGGAAGAAAACTGATACAAGTCTCTCAC